CCCCCGCCGTGGGTGCCCGGAGCGCGCCCCGCGCCGCGCCGACACCGCGCGGGGTGGGGGTGGGGAGCGGCGGCGGCACCGGGACCTGGGTTGGGGGGGGGGGGGGGGGGGGGCGAAAGCGAAGCCACGCCCCCTCCTCCCCGCGCGCCGATTGGTCGCCTCCGCGCCTCCCGCCCCGACGGGCGTTGGGTTCGAATCTTCCAGCTGCTCCGCCGCTACGCCCCGCCCATCCGCTCGTTCATTGGTCGCCGCTTGTGTTTTGGCTGCAGACGGCGCTGCCGTTGGTCGTCGGTCTACGCGGAGGCGGGGCGATGGGGGAAAAGCGAGGAGCGCTCGCTGACTGGTCGCTTTCGTTGGGCGTTTGTGACGTCACGTTCATTGAGCGGCGCGGCGGGGGGTCCCGGCGGAGCCCCGGGGCTGCGAACGGCGCCGTGCGGCCGGGGCTTCAAAGCGCGGCCTGGGCCCGCGGCTCTGCCCGCTGCCATCCCCATCAGGGGGTCCCAGACAGCCCCGGATGGTTCAGGGATGGTCGGGTGCGAAGGGCGCCTGGAAGGTTTTGGTTTAAAAAAAATATATATATATTGGGGAAAAATGAAAGCTGGAAAGAGGCTTTGGAGATTGGGGGGCGACGGCGGGCAATGAGCGAAGCGAGGAGGGGGTGGGATGAGGACTGGGGTGGGATATGGACAGGGGTGAGGGTGGGGTGGGATAAGGATGGGGATGGGGTTGGATGAGATGGGGTGGAGCAGGACGGGATGGGAACTGGTGCAGGTGACGCCTGCAGATCGGTGGAGGCTGCTTTTCTCTCCACAAATACCCGCAGCTCCTTTGAGGGCCGCACGTGAGCAACAGCCCTGGTGCCAGAGTTGAGCCCTAAGAGAGAGCTGTGGTCACACACAGCCCTGGGAGGCAGCTTCCTGGTAGTATTTACAGGTGCCTTTTGGGGTTTAACGCTGTTTTCTCTTTGTGCATCGGATTTTGTCCCCTCTTCCCCACGTTGCTGCGGTTTATCGGAGCTGTCTGTGTGCCTGGAGCTGATACGGATGGGGCAGAGCAGAAGGGAAGCGGAGCTCGGCCCCGAGCTGTGCTGTCAGTGCCTGAACTCCTCGCTTTGCTGCGGCGCTGTCCTACAAAATCCTCTGCAGCAGAACGGCGCTGAAAAAAAAGCCACGAGCCGTGCAGCCTGCATGCAGCAGCTCTGCGTGTAATGAGCGCTGCTTTATGGATCTTTATGGGGCTAACTTTGAGTTATTGTCTGCACTAAAGCCCTGCAGTCTGTTGTGTGCTGCTAATGACGTGCCGGCTCCATCTCACCCAGGTTCTCATTCCTGCAGGGCTGTTGCTTGCTGGAAGAAGGCAGAGGAATGGGTCCAGAGATGGGTTTGACCCCTCGGGGCCGCCCTGTGCAGAAATATGGGAGCTTTGGGGTCTGGGGGAGCCTTCTTTGTTCTGCATGACCTGAGTCAGGAGCTGACCTGCTTTCCTAAGCCTTGGGAGACGCACTGAGCCTCAGCTCCTTCTGTGCAACCATCTCCACTGATGGCAGGTGTTGGGTTCGGTAGGTGAGATCCAGGGTGGGGGCAGTGAGATGCAGTCAGGCTGCAGGACTCCCCCCCCCCCCTCCCCACACACTCTCACACTCTCTCTGTGCTTTGGCTTTTCTCAGCTGCGCTCAGGGCTGTGCTGCCAAGAAGCAGAGCACAGGGGGAGAGAGACATGCGTGGCCCTGTGCAGGGGGGCACCAAGTGGGGAGCCCTGGGGAACGGCACTGCTGAGTAGCTGAGGACATCGGGGCAGTTCATCTGCCTCCCCACACATCCCTGCTTTGGTATTTATAGCATTCATGTTATCAACTCGAATCAAAATCATGTGACGCTCCACTAACTTGCGCTGCAGGATTAATTCATCACCGGCGTTTTCAGCCTTCCCCCTCCAAAGGGAAAACCCGAAGGTGCTCAGTGCTCCCATCTGCTCTGTGCTGGGCACCCGAGGTGTGCTGCGGCTCTGGGTGCAAGAAGGGGGAGGTGGGGGGGTGGGGGGGGTGGGTTCGACACTCGGCTTTTCCCAGGGGACACCCCAGGATGGTGGAGCGGTCCACATCGTCCCCATCCCTACCTTGGGGGTCTCTGGGGAGGGGGTGACTGCTGGGGTGCGGGTGGGAGGAGGGTAACATCAAGGGCAGGAGGTGCTGCCGGTGGGCACTTGGAGGGGTCCCGGCGGACGAGAGAGGGAGGCAAACGGGTCACACCGGGGATAGCGGTACCGCCGTGCCGTGCCGAGCCGAGCGGGCGGGGCGGATTGGCCCGGCCCGGCCCCGCATTGGCGCAGCGGCCCCGGCGCTAACGCGGAGGCGGTGCCGGGCGCGGCGCAGAGCGGGGGATGCTGCGGGCGGGGGCCGCCGCCGCTCAGCCCCGGTGCCGGTCCCGGGCCGGAGGGCGCCCGTTGAGCCCGGCCCGGCCATGGGGGCTTTGACCAGCCGACAAAACGCAGGGGTGGAGGAGGTGGATATCCCCGCTAATTCCGTCTATAGGTACCCCCCCAAATCCCGGAAGCGGGGGGGGGGGGTGCCGGCTCTGCTCCGCGCTGGGGAGGGGGGACCAGGTGCGACCTTGTTTCGGTTATGGAGGGTTTCCCTTCACCCGCATCCTCGCTGTTGTCGGGATGCTCCTGTGCACCCCGACGCTTAGCCTGAAAGCCCTAAAATTATGGGGTTGGTGCTGGGAGACACGCAGGGGGCAGGGAAATCCCTGGGAACGTCCTTGGGGCTGCCCATTTCCAGGAGCCCCGTCACTAACGCAGCTCCTACAACTTGCCTGAGTTGCCGCTAATTTAATTCCCTGATTATTTGTATACGGGATCTGAAAGCCGTCACTCTCTTTATAGCTCCTCACGGAGTTGCTTGCTGCTTGGGTTTAAATTCCCGGGAGGACGCAGGAGGATGAGGTGGGAGGGATTGGAAGGGAGCCCTCCTTCCCCTCTGCTGTGCCCCATAGCAGCCCCCCAGCTCTGCCTGTCGAGCTCCTCTGCCCTCACCGAAGCCGCAGCAGGGATGTCTGTGCCACCCTGAATCCGGCCCTGTCTCAAACCTTCTGCGTGACCTTGGAAAATTGGTCCCTCCCCTCTGTGCCTCGGTTGGATGGAGCTGGTGTCCGAGGGGGGGGGACCGTGTGTGTGTGTGTGTGTGTGTGTGTTTGTGTCCTGGGGGTCGCATCAGGGGCGCTGTGTGTCTTCGGGGGACACTGCAGAAATAGGATGGTGCCCAGGAGCACTATAGGAATTGCCACAGCATCCTTGTGGCACGGAATATTATTAATAGGTAACTATTTTGGTAGTTAATAGGATAAAGGTAAATGCTCGGATCGTTAGCGCTGTGACAAATTACTTGCTAATTATGAATAAAGACCTCCTTAGGAAGAATCAGAGCCAGCGCAAACCCTACCCTGGTCATGAAAGCTGCGCCTGGCTCTTCTCTGTTTGATTTGGACCCCTCAGCCCAGCTGAAGCAGGGCTGCACATCTGCTGGGGGCTCATTGGGGGCTGAGGCAGCTGACATTGTCAGCCCTGGGGCTTCCCCAGCTCCTGCTTCTGTGCAGTCCGAAGGCCTCCATCACCTTGATGCCAGCTGGAGCCAGACCAGCCCCTCTGTGGGTCTGGCAGGGGCCTGGAGCTCTGTGTGCATATCAGGTTTTTGTGCTGGGGAATGTTGTCCCTGCCCAATTACGCCTAGCTGAGCATCCCTGGATGCATCTCAGCTGGAAGAGGACATCTGGCTGATGCTTACCCACAGCTTTCAGAGAGAAACTGAGGTTTTCAGGTGTGCTCAGTGGGGTTTCAGGTGTTCCCACTGGCAGAGCTGTGGGGCCGCATCCTTGGGAGAGGGCAGGAGGTGCCCAGCTGACAGGAAGGGACGGGGCCATCTGCACTGCGCGCAGGCTGGTGACTGCGGAAGATTAGGGCTGTCCTGCTTTTAATCTGAGAGGGATTTGCCTCTGGCACTGCTGGCAGCAATTGCACTGAGTGCTCGTGAAAGCAGCCACCAGCTTGGGGATGGAGCAGTGCGAGGCTGTGGGGCACAGCCCTCTCTGTGGATGTGACTGCGGGGTGATGCTGCAGCCACTCCCTGTCCCCATCAGACTTTCCTTTTCTCCTCCTGGGGGTCTCCACCTCCTCTGGGCAGGGCACAGATAAGATTAATTAAAGCTAATATTTTGAAGTGAAGGATGGGATTTGTTTTAGCGGCTCAAAACCTGGCAGGGAGGTTGGAAAGGAGAATGATTGAGGGCTGTTTTATGGCTGTTCAGTGTGGGGATGGATGCAGGGTCCCCAGGTTGGGCAGGTCCCTGGTTGCAGCCCCAGTCTCTGGTTGAGGCTGATGCTGACCCACAGGCTGGGGACAGGATGAAGGGGTCAACCTGGTGAGGACACCCCGTGTACCAGGGACACCCTGTGGGTTCCTGTGGCGGTGGGGCGAGGGCTGACACAGCAGATCCTCAGCTGGGGTTTGGTTTCTCCTCCCTCTCTGAAGCAAATTAAATTGAGAATGAAAACAGCCCGCAGTGCGCAGCTCCTCACTGCCACTGGGGAAGCAGGAACACAGAAACACAGAAGCACCTGGCCGTGGGTCAGTGGTCTGGGGGGTTCCCATGGATCCCCCCCAAGGAGATGCTCAAGGAGAAAAGGGGCTGATAGCATTAGCAGCGTTGGCTGTGCCTGGACACATCCTGCAGCGCGGTGCTGGCAGGCGTGTGGATGTGGTTTTGTTTGCTGGGATCACTGAGCAATTTGGTTTTATTCCTTTTAAGCAGCCACTCCATTCCCCTTGCACACAGCCGTTCCCACACGCTCTCTGGGCCTCTGAAGTTTAATATCTCATTAAAGCTCAGCTTTCCCTCGGCAATGTAACTGTCCTTGACAGGCTCTCCTTCCCCTGGGGCAGGTGTTGGGGAAGGGATTATAATTAGCCGATAATAAGAGGGCTTTCGCTGGAGAGGTGCTTCCCTGTCTGACGCGCCTGCAGTCGCTGGCTCCGTGCTGCCGGTGTCCCAATGGTTTATAGGGCAGAGCCTGGCACAACTCAGAGCTCAGCGCCTTCTGCTCAGCCTCCTTCCCGTGGGGAAGGCAAAATCGCCAGGTTTTTACCTCCTGCCTCTTTAATCTCTCTTGCTGCCGCTGATGGCTGCAGCACTCAGCCCATGTAAAATGCATGAGCCTGCTGTGAGGCTGCACGCCTGGAAGCAGCGAGGTCAGGGCTGCATCCCAGGAGCTGCGAAAGGGATGTTGAGGGATGTGGCTGTGCCCTGGGAGCCTGCAGCACCCAAAGGTGCTCTCCACCCCCAGTGTGGAAGTTGGGTGCAGCTTGGTCCTCATAGCTGATACTGGGTTAAGGTTACACTGTAGGAGCCCCCAGCAAGCCATGATTGCAGCTATTGCACAGAGCCTGCTCTGCTTTTCAGCTTTCCTCTCACCTCCTGGATGCTTTCCTGCAGGTTTGAACACGGCATTTTTCCATCTCTTCTTCTCCAAAGTCAACATCACAAAAAGCTCTGGATGGGTCCAGCCTCCTCCCCCCCTCCCAAGCTGTGTTTTGCTCTTGGGCTTTTTCACGTGGCCGCATCCTTCCTGTGGGAGCCACCTATAAATTATGCACGTGGAAAATGGGACCAGAACGCATCAATAATTGACGGTCGGCTTTTCCTATCTGGAGCACTGCAGCCCCATGTCCCCACTTCAGTGCTGCGGCCTTGGGGACCAAACCACTGGGAGCCAGCGGTGGCTTTGCGGTGACGTTGCTGCCGAGGGCTCAGGAGCTCCACGTGCCCCCCGTGCTCAGCCACGCTCTGTGTTTCCTCCCCAGGGAGCTACTTTGCCAACCACTTCATCATGGGAGGAGAGAAGTTCGACTCAACGCACCCTGAGGGTTACCTCTTCGGCGAGAACAGCGACCTCAACTTCTTGGGGAACCGACCCGTGGTGGTAGGGATCAGTGGGAGTGGGCTCTGCCTGCTGTCTGTCTGTCCGCTCTCTATCCTGCACGAGGGCAGAGACAGCCAAGCGCGCTGGGGGTGGGCCCAGTGGATTCTCTGCTGTCTAATATAAAGGCTGATCGCTTGCTGCCCCCCTGGGTCCCGATCCATGTCCCCTGTGGGGCTGTCTGTCCATCTGCAGGACTGGAAGTTACTGCCGTGTCCCTCCTCTCTCTGAGCTGGTGGATAGGATTGTGAGAGGCTGGGTGCCATCTCCCTTCAGTGCTGCTCTGCCGTTGCCCATTTCTCCTCTGCCCCTCTGCTCGGCCCTGCAGTGCTTTTCCTTCCAACTGCTGCTGGTAAATGAGTGCGGTTCAGCTCCTTCCCATGAGATGAAGGCAGTTTTGTGCTTGCTGCTTTGTGTTCATCTGAAGGGCAGCAGTGGCTGCAATGAGTAGTTTGGGCTCAAGATGTCCTTAGTTTCTGTGTTCTTCAAATCTGTGGGTCAGGCAGCAAAAACTTCAAGGTGAGGAATCTGATGGCACCAAAGCTTTGCTATTGAGTCCAGATGAGCTTGCCCACTCCAAACAGTGCAACTTTTGGATGTTTCTCTCTTTGCTGCCTGCTTACTCAGTAAGGAACGCTTGGCTTTCGTGCCCTCTCTCCAACAGGGAGTCAGGAGTAGCCTCAGTAAAAGCCTCAAAACTGCACACCGTGCAGTTCCAATGTCAGGAATCCCGACAGCAGGCTGTCAGGAGCAGCAGGGAAGGCAAACTAACAGCTTGGAAACAGCAGAAAGAATTAATATAGCGTTGCAAATGAAATCACATTGCTCAGGCTTAATTAGCGCCGGATGCGAGCGGCTGCGCTCTGCTCTGGGGCTGCTGTCCCCATGCATGGGGGGAGGTTTGGGGTCATGGGGTGTGCAAGGAGTGGGGCTCAGGGGGTGCTGCATGGCGCCTGGACGTGGCACTGGGGCAGAAACAACGTAGGTATCTCTGATGCTGCCTCCAATCCTTTTCTTGGATGCTATTTTGTGTTCTGGGCTGCTGTGACAGAGATGTGGTTGGGCTGGAAATGTAGGAGCACACCGATGCTTTTTGCTGGGGGTTTTATTTTGGGCTCCTTTGAAGTCCTGGAAGAGCTGAGAGCCTAATGTCTTGGAAACATTGTCCTAAATCCTCTCTAAGCTGTGCAGCTGGGGTGAACCGTTAAACACCACTGAGCTGCAGGGAGGCGCCGTGCTGCACACAGGGAGCTTTTGCAGCGATGCAGGGGATGGGGAGGGATCTCTGCAGAGCGTGGTGAGATGAAAACCACCCGTGTGCACCTGCAGAAAAAACCTCAAGGAATATTTTTGAGGGTATTTTTTGACTTTAACAAGGACTGGCCTGGATCAGACATCACTAAGGATGTGTGGACTGTGTTCTGAGAGAGAGCAGTGGTTGGAGCGAGGGTTTTTTTTCTGTTGTATTTCAGCTTGGCTTAAATCAAGGGGATTGAAAAACTCCTCTAAATGCCCCTTTTGTAATTAATGAAATTTTGCAAGCCAAATTTGCACCAAAAAACCCCCACCAAACTACCAAAAAGGGGCCCACATGTGGCTGTGAAGGAGCCCAACAGTGACAACCAGTTTCTGTAGCAAGAAATTTGCCTGCGGCGCTTCCCCATTCTGCCCAGCCCAACCACCAGTGCCTGCCTGCAACCCCAAACTTGTGGGGGTGGCCAGAAGGGCCCCCACAAGGGCTGGATGGAGTGATGTACCCCAGGGCACGTGCTGGGTGCTCCTCCACCACCCATCCGTGAGCGCTGTGCTGCGCCCATGGGTTCCCGACAGCCTCGTGGGGCCGTGGGATGTTTTGAAGATGCCAAGGTGCAAATGAGCAGACAGGTTGGATTGCTTTGTGGTGGAAGAAGGATCGTGCAGTGGTGTAGGTCCAGTCCATGAGCTTCTCCTTGTGTGGGTCAGGGCTGTGGGTCATGCTTAGCTCTCAGGCATTTGCTTCCTTCCAGCCACACCATGCTATTCTGCCAGGGCCCATGACTCGTTACAAATCTCATTAACTCCAGATTAATGACTCAGCAGCCCTTTTTTCCTCCCTCAAGGGAAGGGAGAGCGTGGCAATTTCAAGGTGCCATGGATTAATCCTCAAAGCGTCCTGTGCCACCCACCTCCCATGCCTGGTCCTGCAGGCTGAGCCTGGATTCAGCCAGCCTGGGTTCAGCCAGCCTGGATTCAGCCTGCCCGTGGCCATCAGGAGCAGAGCTGTGGGAACAAGAGGGACCGTCCTGCTGCCCCTGAGGTCCTGATGCTTGTGAGACCCTGCTGGCCACGGGGTCCTGCCCGTCCCCTGCCCCATTGAGCTCTGCAGCCACAGGGAAATCAGCAGTGACTTTCCCACGTGAGGGCGCCTGGAACATGGAAAATGGGCATCGGGAGGGATGAGGAGACCTGAGCACTGAGGGGACCCAGGCAGCTCGGTTTGCTTTGGTCCCTGTCCCAAAGCACCAGTGAAACTCAAACCTCTTTGGCTTTTGCCCGTGTCTGCCATCTGTGCAGGCACTCGGGGCTCTCCTGGTGCTTGCTGTCCCCTTGGCATGCAGTGACAGCTCGTCGGTGAGCCAGACATTAATCCCAGCATAAGCTGCTCCAAGCTCCTGTCACTCCGCATTTACAAAGTCCCCAGGGGAGGTGAGCCCACCTGGGAGGCATCTGAAGAAGGGACAGAAAAGGGGAGAGATGCAGAGAGGTCCTTGTGTCCCTCCCAATATCTCCCATCTTCCTTGGGTGGCTGCAGTGCCGAGAAGAGGGTGGGTATCCCCTCTCTGCAGCAGTGTTTCCCTGCAGGCTGCAGGTGACATGGGAAGCACAAGGTCATCTTGGAGGGCGGTATGACACCCCTATGTGCTCCCTCATAGCATTGCTGCCTGCACAGCCACCCTATCAGCTTCCAGTGTGGACACAGAGGGACCCCACAGCCCAAATCCTATCCATTGCTGGACAAAGACAGGGGAATGTGTGTCTGTTCTTTGCTGCCAGGCACAGAGATAGCTCCGAGCTCCCTCTGCCCAGCCTTGTCCATCAGCTCCGTGCCGCATCAGCAGGCTAAAAATACACAGCAGCTGCCTGCGGGGCTGGGGGGAGGCAGCCATGCACCTCGACCCTGTTTCCCCTCATCCTACACCCATCCTGGTCCCCTGGAAAGCTGTCTCCTGCAGGGTGATGTCCCTGTTGCTGTACCGCTGTGTATTTGAGCGTGGATGTGTGGTCTGCTGAGGGGGGAGTGCTGGGATCTGTTTTAGCCCCATTGTGGATGGCTGGGGTATTTAAAGCCCCCATAGTCAGAAACGAGCCAAGTCCCAGTGAATGCAGCTATGTAAGAGAAGCAGACCGGGAGAGAACAGCCTCTGTGATGGTGTGCGTGGTGGCTTTGGGGTTTGCAGGAGAGATGTTGCCCTTCAGTGCAGCTTTGCCCATCCTGGGGGCACATTGCTGTCCCACAGCACTGACTGGGGGCTGCTCTGGGGGCTTTGCAGGGCAGGGAGTGGCTTCACCATCACAGCAGGAGCAGGGCTGCGGCCACGTAACTGTGTCTCTCTCATCCTCAGTTCCCTTACGCTGCTCCACCTCCTCAGGAACCCGTGAAGACCCTCCGGAGCCTGATCAACATCCGCAAGGACACGCTGCGCCTCGTCAAGTGAGCAGCCCGGGATGCTCCCACCCCACTGCGTCACAACGGAGGGGACAGAGCCGTCCCCATCCCTGCACAGCCCTCCCTGCAGTCTTCATGGCTGCACTGAGCTGCATTAGGTCGCACCGGGCTGCACTGGGCCACCCTTGCAGTGTGGCAGGATTAAGCAGGGCTTAGCACTGCCTTTGAAGAGATTTGCTTTTTTCTTCCTTCCCCCACTTCTGCCAAAGTGAGGCTGAGGTTTGGGATTAGGGCTGAGAGCCGGCTGCAGCACCCCTCCTCCTGCAGCCTTGCCCTTGGGTAGATCATGCACTCCTGTGTGCCTCAGCTTCCCAAAGAGGAGGGCAGTCAGTCCCTAAAAGCTGTTCGTTGGGTGATGAGGGGACTTTGGTGACACCCTCTGTGCTCCCCAGGTGTTCGGAGGAGGTGAAGACCCCAGGGGAAGAGGTCAGCAAAGCCAAGGTGCACTACAACGTGGAGTTCACCTTCGACACGGACGCCCGCGTGGCCATAACCATCTACTACCAGGCCAGCGAGGAGTTCCACAACGGGGTGGCGAGGTGAGGAGCCCCAGCCTGATGTGCATCCTTCCAGCACGGTGTGACCCCCCAGATGGGGACTGTGGCTCTGCTGGTGGCCTTGCTGCTCCCAGCAGCACCTCCTCTCCTTCGGGGAGCTGTGGCTGCAGGTGGGCTCCTCACTCCTGCGAGTCCATCCCCATCACTGGTCCCATATGGCCAAGGTTTCTGCAGCCACCACATCCCCCAGCCCAGTCTCGCTCCTATTCCTTCCGTGTTGGAGCTGAGAACATGCCCCATCCTATTCCTACCTGCCCTCTTGCCCCATGGATTATTTTAGCCCTTTTTAGGACTTCTTGCCCCAGCCCTCAGACACATCCAGCAGGGAAGCAGAGAACCAGTTCTGCTTGCTCCCCTATTCTCCATGAGCTGGAGGAGTGCAGGAGTGCTGACCCTTTCCTTTCTCCGAGGGACAGCTACGTCCCCAGGGACACCAGCCTGCAGTCGGAGACGGTGCACTACAAGCGGGGTGTGTGCCAGCAGTTCTGCGTGCCCTCCCACACTGTTGACCCCTCGGAATGGACCGAGGAGGAGGTAAGCACTGCCAGCCCATAGCGTGCCCTGCAGCAGTAGGGAAAGGGGTGGGTGTGTGAGCCCTGCAGCTCTAAACAGCTGTAGAAATGGCTCTAAAACACTGCTGGCTGCAGGCTGGCTGGGAGCCCCCACAGGAGCTCGTTTCCCTTGGTGTGATCACAGCCAGAGGGGGGTTTGCAAGGCTCGGGGCTGCAGCTCAGCTGTTGGGAACTGCTCATTATGGATGGGACACGAAGCTTCTCTCCATGCTGCTCCTGAACGAGCTTTTCCTTCGGTCTGTTCACAGCTGGGCTTTGACCTGGACCGGGAAGTGTTCCCCATGGTGGTGCATGCAGTAGTGGATGAAGGCGATGGTGAGAGAGGGGAAATCCATTTTCCTTGCTGCCAAGGGCTGTGCTGGCAGCACAGTCAGGCAGCTCCTGCCCTCATGCCATCCCCCCTTCTCCTTGTGGGGACTCATCCTCTGTCCCGACATGGCTCTCTGTGCCCTCAGCTTGCCTCCTCCTTGTGTCTTTGCAGAGCACGCCGGGCACAGCCACGTGCTGCTGGCAACCTTTGAGAAGGTGAGTGTGGGGTTGGCACCATCCTGTCCCCTCCCAGACCCTAGCCAGGAGAATCTGCTTGGGGCTCAGGAAGGGGCTTGGGCTGCTTTGGGGCCACTCCAGAAGGTGCAATAGGAGCAGGGGGCAGGCAGGCACTTGGGTGCACTGGGGCAATCCCAGGTGGGTCCACCTCTTTATTTTCTCCCCCAGCATACTGATGGCACTTTCTGCGTGAAGCCCCTCAAGCAGAAGCAAGTGGTGAGTGAACTGCAACCCTGGGGGGGTGTCCCTGGGGGAACTTGTCACACCGTGTCTCCATTCCTCACCTTCCCTGTGCACTTCCAGGTGGATGGGGTGAGCTACCTCCTGCAGGAGATCTATGGCATCGAGAACAAGTACAACACGCAGGACTCCAAGGTAGAGGGCTGTCAGCTGCAACCAGCTGCCCTGGGCCTTTCATTTCCCCTCTCCTACTCCTTTAGCGTGGCTCAGATCCCTCAGATGTGACCCTAACCCTGCTCTGTGCTGAGGACTCGGACCCAAATGACTCTTATCTCCCTGCCACGCAGGTCGCTGAGGATGAGGTGAGCGATAACAGCGCTGAGTGCGTCGTCTGCCTCTCGGATGTCCGTGACACCCTCATCCTGCCCTGCCGCCACCTCTGCCTCTGCAACACCTGCGCTGACACCCTGCGCTACCAGGCCAACAACTGCCCCATCTGCAGGCTGCGTAAGGGAGGAGCTCCCACCTTGGGAGAGGGTCCCTTTCTGGGTCCCACGGTTTCCCTGGGAGAGCCCCAGGCTCCAGAATGGGGTGGCTTTCGTGGGCTTTTGAGCTCCTCTGGAATGCACCAGTTCCCAGTTTTCAACCTATCTCTCTTCCTCCCCTTTTTCCTCTTACCCAGCTTTCCGAGCCTTGCTTCAAATCCGAGCCATGAGGAAAAAGCTGGGGCCCCTCTCGCCCACCAGCTTCAACCCCATCATCTCCTCACAGACCTCTGACTCTGAAGAGCACTCGGTCAGCGCTCAGGAGAGCTTCGGGTGCCCCACCGGGGTGGGTTGGGAAGTGCTGGGGTTGGAAAATGGAGGGGGGGCAGGGGTTTTGAAATGCAAGGTGGGAAACGCAAGCAAAAAACACAGGCTGAAAAATTGCAAAAAGTGTGGTAAGAGAAAGCATTGCCTGCCTTATGTAGTAATGCCCGGTTGGTTGGAAAGACCACAGATTTGGGGCTTTCATGGGAGTTTGCCTGGTCTCCATTTTTTCGGTGGGGATGGAGGGGACAACGTCACAGCTGGGGGGGGCTCTCACCCCCTTTCCCCCTTCGCAGTCCTCAGAGAACATCCCCCCAGGCTACGAGGTGGTGTCGCTGCTCGAGGCCCTCAATGGGCCCCTGACTCCCTCACCGGGTGCAGGGCCGATGCGGATGCTTGGCGATGGCCCCCCAGGTGCAGGACCGCTGCCCTCCTACAGCAGCACCGGCCGCCTGCCCCCCCTGCGGGCCCTCTCACCCCTCGAGCGGCTCTCAGAATGTGCCCCACCGGGGCTCAAGCTGAAGAAAAGCCTTTCCAAGTGAGTAAGATGATGTGGGAGATGCAGGGGGAGCTGTGGGGGGAGCGACCCCTCTATCCTACTCTTCCATTCTGTAGGTCGGTATCCCAGAACTCCTCCATCCTGCCCGAAGAGGAGGACGAGAAGTCGTGTACTGAGTCAGAGCTGAGGGTCTGCAGGAGGAAATCCCCTGCCCGGCTGGAGGAGGTGAGCGTTCTGTGTGCCCCTGGGTGAGGAGGTTTGTGGTTTATCCTCTTGGGGAACACAGAGTCTGGATGTGGGTTTTTTTCCTCTCCTGGGCATCCTTTGGGTGAATACCCGAGAGATGTGGATCTGCACCGCCTTGGTGCCATCCCCAACGGCAAGTGGCTCTGTCCCTTCCTAAAACGCCCCTCAAAGGCTCCCACCCACCGGCTCTTCTTCCAGGAGTGTGGCATGACACCAGAGAGTGAGAACCTCACGCTGTCCTCATCGGGAGCCATTGACCAGTCCTCGTGCACCGGGACCCCGCTGTCCTCCACCATCTCGTCTCCAGAAGGTACATGTGACACACACCTCCATGTCCTCAGAGGGTTTGCACGGCCCTTGCTTCACGTCCCACTCCTCTTATTAGACCTCCTTTTAATTACCTGGTGCTGTGCTCCCTTCAGAAGCTGCCAGCAGCAGCCTGGCCCAGTCTGTCATGTCCATGGCCTCCTCCCAGAGCCAACACTCACAGATCAGCACCGACACTGTCTCCTCCATGTCCGGCTCCTACGTGGCCCCTGGCACAGAGGAAGAAGGGGACATGCTCCCCTCGCCTGCAGCCGCCAGTGCCACCGCCTCTGATGGAGAGGTACAGGGGGTGGCAGCCCTTGTGAGACGCCATTGCTTTTTTGAAAGAAAATAATTAATTTTATTTTATTCTTTTTTCCCCTTTCTCACTTGTTCCTGCAGTCGACACCTGTGGAGTCCCCAGATTTAAACTTTGTCAGCATCTCAGAGGAGCACGATGCTGAGGTACGGCGCGGCGCGGGGAGCCGGCACTCCCAGTGCTATGGGGTGCCCCATTGTGCTGACAGCCACTGCCTCTCTGTGCCGCAGGGCAATGACGTGCTGGAGGATGAGGATGTGTCACCCACACAGGAAGATGGTAAAAGGCCCAGATCGCTGTTTTTCCCCTCCACTTTCTGTTCAGTATCACTGGCAGGGTGATGCTGTGCTGTCCTCAGTTCTCGTGTCACAGGGGAGAGCACCGGCTGCTTTGGAGGCACCGGGGCTGGGGAAGCGCTGGCACAGTGGAATTGCCCCTGGATGGGTCAGACATTAGCAGGATGGGGACAGCTGGGTGGCCATGGGGACCCTGGGGCACGTAGCAGGTGACGACTGGAGCTTAGGATGTGAATCCCTGCAGTGGGATAGGTGGCAGTGTGGAACCAGGTACCCAGTGGGGCACAGTGTCCCATGCAGGGGCTGTGCTGGGGGATGCAGCACCTGGGTGAGCAGCAGCTCCTCGAAGGCTGTCCGTGCAGGAAGGGTGATACTCCTGCAGTCCCTCCATGGGATGCAGCTGGAGCTGCTTCCAGGGTGCCAAGTGAGAAAGTGTCTTTGAGAGGGTTTTTTTCCTTGCCAAGAAGGTCTCTCAGCATCTCTGAAAACCTCTCCCTTCACTATCCCTGTCTGTGCTGGTTTCCATAGGAAGGGGTTGCAAAACTGTTCCTTTTTGGGCTACTTTCCTCATTTTATTTCTGTTTGCTTGTCCTCGATGTGCTTTCACAAGTCAACGTGTGCACACTGAAGGCTCCTCTTGCTTCCTCCCATGCACTCAAATAACCAAGGAAAGGTGATGTTTCCCCCCTTCCTGACAGAAAGGCCCCCATTGTGCCCCCTCCTGTATTTGCAAGGCTCTTGATAACAAAAAGGCATCAGACCTCTTTCCCTTTCAATCTGGACTGCCAGCCAAGCTGAGAACCATGAGCCTGGCTGTCTTGCCATCAGCAAAAAGAGCAAAGCACATCCCTGTCTGGCAGGAAAGCTCTTGTTCTTGGTGAGGCCCAGGCAGGGAGAACATGGGGGTTGCTCCTGGCCTTTCCTAGCACCCCAAAAGCCAGCACCACCTGCCTCACGGGGAGCTCGGCTCAGCTATAAGCCGGCTTGATCAGGCACCAAGAATTAAGGCGTTCATGGGAAGTCTCCAGCTTTTATGCCTTAGGATATGAACCCATGTGTGCTATCAGCAGTGCTGCCAGTGCCATTTGAGTTGCCCCTCTCCTCACAGCTCTGCTGCCTGCATCCTATGGATGCACGTCACCCCAGAGCTGGTCACTTGTCATGTACCCGGTACTAAGAAGCAGAGTTGCCTCTCTTGCCCCCCAAAACCTCCATGCCCCGTGCAAAGCTTGGCTATTCAGCTTCCTTCCATCCCCGCGGCTGCACTGATGGTGCCAGAGCAAGGGGCCTTGAGCCCTCAGCGCGAGGAAGGAGCAGCTCACAGTGCTTTGTTTGCTTTGTTTGAAAGGAGGTGGGGAGAGGAAATTCCCCATGCCCCCTCCCCGCGTGCACCCCGCCGCGCTAACTGCGTTAACTCCCTTCCAGGCCCGAGGACAGGCGCTTTCCTCGGTCTGAGGTGTGACAATAACAATGACTTGAGCATCGCACACGTGAAAGCGCTGGACAATAAACTGTGCTCTGAGGCCTGCTTACCTGGTGAGTGGCCACTTGCTGAACATGAACTTGGGGTGGGGGGGGGTGCTTCCACTCCTCCCTGCATCGCCCCTGCCCTTCGGATCCCTTCATCTCCATCCCATCCATCTCCATCCCGTCCCTTCCTAGTGGTCCTCACAACCCGTTCTGCTGGCACATAACCACCCCTTGGTCTGGGTTTCCTCCCATCCCCACCACAGTGCCTGCAGATCTGCTTCACTGAGGGCTTTGTCCCATGGCTGCTGCCTGCTGGGACGTTGCTCCTGGACAGGCTCCAGCCTCCCCACAAATGGCTGCATGGCACAACCAGAGCCCACGGTGTGATTTGCAGTGTTTTGGGTCAGGACATGAAGCAGAGATGCTCCAACCTTGGCCAGGTGCTGCTGGATTGGGACGCTGAGCTGCCTGCCTTCCCTTCTCATCAGCCAGGGAGATAAGGCTCTCCAGCTCCTGATGTCCTCCAGCACAGCCCCAAAGCTCCATCCCTCTTCTCCATCTTTTCACACTGTTTCTCCCCTCTCCTTCTTCCTTTCCTCTGTTTCTTTGCTCCTTCTCTCCATTCCTTTTCTCTCTTCTTTCTCCCCACCCCAGACTCCTCCGTCCATGCGAAAGTTCATGTTCACTCTGTGCCAACACGGTTTTCTCTGCCCGTGCTTGTGTCCCCTTCCTTGCCCAGAGTTGCTGAAAGGTGACAAATGTATTGACAACAAGGGCAGGGGACCTGCAGCTACAGCAGGCTCCTCTCCGTCAGTGCAGAGGGATACAAATGGGGGTAAAAAAGCCAAGAGGAGCCTTTTTGTTCAGCTCCGTGGCAATACATTTGTGGACAAACTGAAAGCAACTCTGCCCCTGCCTGTCACTTTAGGCAGGGTTGTTGGCAGGGGCTGAAGAAGGGGAAGGGGGGGGAGGGAGGTGAGAACTGCCTGGCCCCACTGGGTTGGGAATGCCCTTCCTTCCCCATCCCCCCTGGGAAAGCTTCCTACGCCACTGCCTTGCCACCCGGCTGCCCTGTTCCTGGTGGTTTCTGCTTGGGAGAAACACAGCGAGGCTCTTGCAGAGGAACAGGCACCTGCCACAGCTGCCCCACGTCCCTCCAGCAGCACCTGGCATCCCTCAGGTGCCCTTTTTGGTGCCGAAGCCATCCCTGAGTGCATCCCCCTCCGTCGTGCCGAGGGACGGAGAGCTTTGCAGCCCATGCAGCCGCAGAGATGCTCTGGCAGCGAAGGATGAGGTCTCCATCCTTTGATCCTTGCGTTTGCCTGGCAGCTGCTCTGCTTGCAAACCCTCTGTAGGCATTGCCTCTGGGGCTGATGGGAAGAGTGGGGAAGGGGCTGCCTGGACTGCAGCGCTGCAGGATGGCAGAGGGGATGGGAGCACAGCTGGAGGCATGAAGGGAAGGCAGGGGCTCTGCCTTGAGGGTTTGGAGAATGCAACTTGCTCCCTGCAGTCGGGGTGCTGTGGGGCAGGGGGTCACGGAATGAACTGGGATGATCACACTGATCGTTTGCCAGTGGCCATCAGTGTTGGGCAATGTTGGTTTTGTTTGCTGGGAGCGGGGCAGCTGCTTCCTCACCCAGCCCCAGCTGCATTCAGCCTGCGCTCACCAGCCAGCTTTGCACCAGAGATAATCTGAGGCACAGCTTAATGTTCGTGGTGGTGGTGCTGGGCTGGTTTGGGTGCGCTGGTGCCAGAGATTTGGAAGAGGTTGAAGGCTTTTAGCAGTGAATCAGGGCAGCGTTTCCCTCCTGACTCTGGAAGGCTCAGATGTGAGTGCGTCCACAGGACAGACACAAGCAGCAGGGATTTTTCCTTTGGAGTATCTTGAAAGCTTAGTATCATCCTGACCAGAGATGGTTTAGAGACTGGTTTAGCTGTGATTAGATCCACGAGTTGTTTTTTACTCTCTGTAATGAATGAAGGTGCAGGACGTGGCTCATCGATGTGGAAGTGCTTGTCCATCCCTAGCACTGTTGGGAAATCTTTCCAGATTTTCATCTGCTGGGAAAATGCTTTGGGAAGAGTCAAAATGCCACGTCCTGGGGGCTTAGGATGCAAAGTTTGAGACAAACCCACAGACCTGCATCCCCAGGAGGGTTCCCTGGGGCAGAGCATCCTCAGGCTGCGGCACAGCCTCTGCTGGGATAAGGCACAGCAGGGATGGGTGCGTGGCTGTGTCCCCACATCCTGCTCCTGGCATTGCCCCGTGGGAGCCTTTCCAGGACGCCCTGCATTTGTACAGAGGCACCAGAGTGACTTATGCAATGTGAGCCCTTAATGCGATTGCTGTGTGTGTGTGTGTGTGTGTGTGTGTGGTCTTCTTTAATTACCCAGTCCCTCCAGGATCTGCAGCCTTGCCTTGTTCTTCAGCTCCAGCTCACAGTGTAAAGCCATTGGAGATCGCAGCCGTCACCTCCCAGACATCAGCACTCAGTGGGGACGTTGTTACTCCCTCTGACAAAGCCTTAGCCTAGGGGTGCCTCCGCACAGCCCCCAGGGCTCAGAGCTGCCCCAGGCACAGGGCTGAACCTCACCATGATGTGCTTTGTGGGTGCACCCCCTCCAGCAGCACCACCACGAGCTGGTTGTGGTGCAGGTGGTGGTGAGCACATCCCAAGCTCTGCCCATCCACGGGTGGAGGTGCTCCGTCGTCCCCAGCACGAAGCCCCGGGGTCACCATCTGTGACACCCCCAGTGCCCATCAGCAGGGCCTCCTTTTCCCATACCATCCCCATAGGGGAGCAGCCCCAGTGCCAGTTCCTTTGAGCTCCTGCGTGCCGTGATGCCGTGCCTCTCACACTCACCATGTGCCTTCTGGTCTCTCCCTGCCATATAGCTGCAGTGCCGGACTCCTGCCCCATTGACATTGAGGAATAGGTATGAGAGCTGGCGGTCCCCACGTGCCCTGGGTGACATCTCTTAGTGGGATGAGGGAGTAGGGGAGAGGTTTGGGTTGTTAAAATCCAGCCAGGTTGCACGGTGCTCCCCTCTTGCCCTGTCCCATGTCAGGGAACCCACATCTCGCCCTGGAAAGAGGCAGCCTGGTGGTGCTGGAAGGGAAACCCCTGTCTGATGCAACATTCTAGCATGGGAACAAAGATTTGGGGTTTCCAACTAAACTGCCCACATTGGCAGCACCATGTCCCCCAGCACAGAGGGTCTCCGCTCCCCTGGGGGTGTTGGGGTGTAGCTCCAGGTGATCAGCCTCTAACCCCCTGTTTTCTCTCCCAGGCCCAGAGGCAGCCAACACCAATGTGTGGCTCTCGTGCCCTCCCCTCTGGCATCAGCCACCCGGAGCAGGCAGCAGCCATGGGAGCCCTGCCCATGGGTGGGCTCAGCCTGGGGGACTCGCAGCCCCCTGCCATACACAGAGGCTCCCAGGCACTGCCACCTCCACCTTCAGCCATTGGAATGATGGTAACCTCGAATTTTCCTCCCTGTCTCCCACTGCTGGATGGCTGGCTGCTGTGTCACCTCAGAGCCCTCCATCGGCACCTTCCCTTCCCCTTTACACACCAACGTTGGGCTGGGATCCTCCTCCTGCCCCATGTGGGGTCTTGGGGCATAGCTAGATGGCAGGAAAGTGTCCACGGTTGTGTGTTAAGGACAAGTGTCAGCATTAGCAGCCAAGGTTCACTCTGGTGACTGTGGTGGGAGGCTGGACCCCCCCGGGATGCTGACACATCCCTGTGCCGTGCCATGGGATGTCCCAATGGTGGCGATGGAGCCCCCCCCCCCATCCCCATCCCCTCTCTCCTCATGGGCAGCGTCTGGGTTCCCACAGGGTGGCTTGTGCCCAGGGATGGGGACAACACCTTGGGACATCACCAGTTTAACTTCACTGTCTTCCACCACACCACGAGCTCAGAGCTTGGGGCTGTGTCCTCTCTCTGGAACAAGTGCCAAAATCATCACCCAGTCGCCCTGCCCTGCTCTTAACATCACATAATGGAATAGCAGGGATGGGCAGAGGGGAGGGGAGCTGCCCCCAGCCCTCCATCGCCATCCCTGCAGCCAGCGTTGGGCTGCACACGTGGGTTCTGCTCAATGGGCAAGGAGGGCCCAGAGGGGTGTAGGGCTTCAACCGCACACCTTTGGGGACTTCAGCATCCCAACGCAGCCAGCTCAGAGCTGTGTGTGACTATGGGGAGGCAGCCGTTGCTCCAGAGGGTCCTGGCAGGTGAGCAGTGGGGTTTTCTGGCTGCAGCCCCGTGGTGTGGGTGAGGGCAGCCCTCCTTCCCCCACTCCTCCACCCATCAGGGATTTAAGAAAGAAAACAACCAGATTGCTGCTTCCGACTCTGCTTCCAGCATGTTATGGATTTGAAGAGTGCGTTTAATAAAGGGTATCTTACGTCCATCGCAGTGTCCGCAGTCGCTGTGTGAGGGCGGGCGGTATCCCGGGGCTCAGTGGCTGTAACCCCAAACCCGGAGCCTTTCCCCGCTGCTTCTTCCCGGCTCCGCTCTCCCGGTCTGGACGGAGCTGATTCGGACCAACGCGACGCCCGAGTCCCCGCCCGCCCCTCCAGCCCCCAACCGCGGGGCGAAGCGGCGGGTAACAGCTCCTCGCCATGGTGACGCGACAGCCAATCAGAGAGCGCGAAGCTGTTTACGGGGCGGGGCGTCGCCGTGGCAACACGGGAAGCCTTGCGGAGCCGCTACTTAATGGCGGGCGCTGCTCTGCCGGCAAATCACGGCGGCGGGGCGGGCAGCGCCGGGGGCACAACTCGTCCCTAAAGCGGGGGAAAGCGGAGCCCGAGGCCGGGGGATTTGTGTGCGTGGGGTTTTTTGTTTTGTTATCGGTTATTTTTTTCCTGGTTGGTGTTTCCAGAAGCTTCCTGCTCTCCCGTGAACTTTAGGAGCCGGGGCACGTCGCTGGGACGGGGTAAGGGGCAGCGTGGTGGGACGGGGCGGTGAGGGCGCGACGGGGCGGCTCGGATGGGGACATCGGCCGTGGGGCTGCACTGTTGGCGCACGGAGCGGGGGATGGGAGGGGGTCGTTCATTTCTGTTATCTCCCCACTCCTGGCTGTAGCCGGCAGAGGTGATAGGAGCTGAGAGCTGGAAGGGCTCTCGCTGTGCTGAGCCCATTTTGGGGGGTTTGCTCCTTTTTGGGCAGCGGGGCAAAGGGTTTTCTGCCTT